CTTTATCTGTGGCAACACTGGGGGGCTGGAACTGCCAATCGTTAGATTAGCCATCACTCTCAAACCACTTGAGCCACTCAGGGGAACTTATTTAAAGATCCCTAACCCAAACCAAGGGACCTCTGGTAGCGTAGGCACTTGACTGCTAACCAGAAGGCTGGTGGTTCAAACCCACCAGCCACTCCTCAGAAGGAAGGTTGGACAATCTTCTTCTGTAGTGATACCACCTTGGAAACCCAAGGAGAGATCACTATGAGTCAGGTCCAACTTGACGGCACATAACAACAACAACCCAAACCAAACCTACTGCCATCAAGTCATTTCTGACTCATGGCGACTCTATAGGACACAGAAGAACTGCCCCATAGAGTTTTCAAGGCTGTGATATTTATGGGAGCAGAGTGGCACATCTTTCTCCTGCAGAGTAGCTTCTGAGTTCAAACCATCAACCTTTCTGTTAGCAGCTGAGCACTTAACCACTGTGCCACCATTTAAAGATAAGGTGGTACTATTTAGAGCAGAAAGTAACTCCGAAATCAATTATTTTAATCCCTTGATTTTACAGAGAAGCACATATTTGACAGGCAAACTAAGGTACAGAGAAGCCAAGTGCTTTCTCCAAAGTCACATAGCTACTGATGGCAGTGCCAAGACCAGAACCTAGATTTGGACCATTTTTAATTAATTTTCTTTCCACCATTCCAGGAGATACATTAATGGAGAAGGAATGCTCACCTGGGAATCTCACCTTGGTTTCTAAAAAAAAATAAATATCAAAACAAAATGAAAACCACCAATGCACTTCAAAGAAACCATGTACAACACTGAGACCAGAAGAACTAGATGATGCCCAGCTATCACTGCTGATTGCTACGAAAGGGATCACAAGAGGAGCTCCTGGATACAGGGAGAGGAAAATGCAGAACAAAACAAAAGACCAGGCTTACTGGTCTGACAGACTCTGGTAGAACCCTCGCTACTATGGCCCTTAGACACCCTTCAAGCCTGAACTCACTCCCATGAGGCTCAACTTTCAGCCAAACAATAGCCAAGCCTATAAGGTAAACAGTAACATTAAGTAGGTGTGCACTCCCTAGAACAACCAATCCTTTGAGATCAAAAAGGTAGCATTTGCCCAAGGATAAAGCTCAGAAGACAGGATGGAATAGGAAAGAAGGATGAATAGAAACTGTAAACAGAGGGAGGAAGTGGGAAGAGTGCTGTTACAGTTTTGGGATTGCAATCAATGTCACAAAACAAAATGTGTATGCATCATTGAATGGAAAACCAATTTGCTTTGTAAACTTTCACCCAAATCACAATAAAAAAAAATTTAAAAAAGAAAGAATGCATATAGAACATACTCCTTCCAGGAGGACATATGAAATTGCACAAGTGCAGATGGTAAGCTAGTATGTGCATTCATTATTCATCTAAGGAAAGCTTTAAAAGCTGACCAAAGCTCTTCTGGCAAAGATCAGGATTTACCACCAACTTTATAATTGGCTACAAGCATGAGAGGTCTTCAGAATCAAAGATGAGCCAGGAGGATACAGTTTAAATAGAGCCTGCTCTGACCACAGCTCCAGAAGGCCCAAAGCAATTTGTGGTGTTGTGGCCGCATGCCACCACTTCAAGTCAATTTCCCACAACTTGACATTTCAGTTTCCTGACCACTATCCAAAACAAGGCTAGATGTTATGCATTAAACTTGCCTTGCTTCATCATAGGCAGGATTTTGAAGAGGGAAAAGAACCTCATAAAAATTAGTAGAGATTTAGAGCTGGTAATTTTGTGTATTGTTAAAATACTGATGAGGAGGAGTGTCAAACAACCAAGTTTCATCTTGGCTCCAGTGTCTTTTGGGACTGTCTGGCTCAGTCTTGCTGGGATTCCAAAAAACAAAACCAAACTCACTGCCATCAAGTTAATTCTGACTCATAGAGACCTCCTTAGGGTTTCTGAGGCAGTAATTCCTTATGGAAGTAGATTGCCCAGTCTTCCTTCTGCAGAGTGGCTGAGGGGTTTGAACTGTGAAACTTCTGGTTAGCAGTCAACAAGACTGTCTTAGGTATGGACTGTAGGGTCAGCTTCTAAGTCTTATCAAACACACATAAGCATAACACAGAGAAAGAGAGATAATTTTAGCTCTAGTTCATTGAACCAAATCTAGAAATGGCAGACCAATTTGTAGAGTAGGAGTTAAAAGTCACACTTCTACTTATTTAACAATGGACAAAATCACCCACTATGTTTCATCTCCTCTGGGCACTCATAGATAACAACAATAATAGAAAAAACTAATATTCGTTAAGCTGTTACAATGTACCAGGCATTCTTCTAAGAGTTTCCCAAGATTTTATTTAGTTTTCATACAGTTCTCTAAGGTAGAACTACTATTACCTCCACTTTAAAAATGAGAAAAGTAAACATTGTTCTGCCTCCTACTTTGGCGAGTAGC